GGCCTTTTCTGCTTCTCACCTCACCCCACCAATGAGTAGGCTGGGGGGGGCACAAGGATTTGGGAGAGGACAAAGCTGGGACAGCTGATGCCAGCAGACCAAAGGGATATTCCATGCCATATGATGTGATGTTCAGCATATAAAGCTGGGGGAAGAAGGAAGGGGGAATGTTTGGAGTGATGGCATTTGTCTTCCCAAGTAACCATTAGGCATGATGGAGCCCTGGTTTCCTGGAGATGTCTGAACACCTCCCTGCCAATGGGAAAGAGGAAATGAATTCCTTGTTTTGCTTTGTTTGTTCGTGTGGCTTTTGCTTTACCTGTTCAACTGGTTTTGTCCCAATCCATGAGTTTTATCACTTTTACCCTTCTCATTCTCTCCCTTATCCCATGGGGGCGGGGAGTGAGCAAGCGGCTGTGTGGGGCAGAGCTGCTGGCTAGGGTTAAACCACAACAGCATGCTTCAACTACTGCTAAACACCAGGAAGTTTCACAATAGATGAGACACACCTAATGGACTATTAAACTTAGTAAGCAACCCCTTTACCTCATTTGCTTTTCAGAAAAATACTACTTGTCTCTTCTCAGGCCTTAAGTATCACTTAGATTTTGCTTGTTTGGGTATTCCATGCATTCAATGTTGTCTAGTATACTGCTGAGAACAGGGAAACGCTGTCGCGTATTGGAAATTTATCCATCAGGTTTCACTTAGGCAAAGGGAAAAAAAACCCAAACCAAAACAACGTGAGTACCTAATAGCCTTTGAAGCATTAATGATTTCTTTGATTCTTGGCACACCCAAAGTAATGTTCATTGAAGCAACGCCAGCAAAATGGAAAGTCTTCAGAGTCATCTGTGTGCCAGGCTCACCAATACTCTGTGCACAAAGAGCTCCTACTGCAGAACCAGGCTCCATCTGTGCCCTGATAAAATTACAGAGAGAGACATAGAACTCAATAAGGTATCAAATCCTAAGCAACCAAAGACAGAAACTATTCTGGCAGGTATATGAGAAGCTCGTTAATTTTTATTTTTTAATAAACGAACAGGAAAGAGGTTAAAGGGTCATCAATACTCAAGACTGATTCTCATGAAAGGCAAGATGATGCTCTATCATACAGGCATTCCACAGATCCAGTGTAACATCCGTAACAAGCAACAAAATGCTTGTCCTCCTCCTGCACATCAAGGAGTAGACTCAAGACTTGCCATTCAGGGAAATCCCATACATTAACATTTCCAAAACTCCTCTTTATGTCTTTAAGCACAAGAGAGACATTTATTAAGTGTTCTTTAAGAAAATACTGTGCAGCTTACTTTTTAATCAGAGCAAAAACCACATATTAATGCCTTCCTGATTTCATCTTATTCAAAAGTCCTATAACGATGAGCTACTTTCCCTTCAAGTTATGCATGTAACGGGCTCACACCCACATTTGTCCTTTTCTAAAATTTATATACTTAGAAAACTGGTTGTCCTTTCAGGTCAAAAAATGAAGACCAGTACGCTACACTATGCCATCTCAAAGTGAGACATGAGGCATGGTTTACATTCTCCTCTACCATCTCGTTCAGATCCTGCAGTTAGCATTCTTAAGCTCGCACAGAGTGCAATGCCATCTGCTTTTCCAGGGCAAACATAACCTCTGAACTTAAGGCACAATACCACTTTCTAAATCAGTCTAACTTGTAGCAGCTTCTTGAACTCTCCTTGATGAACTCTTAACAATTAAAATTGCTGTCTAATAGTGATTTGGCTTGTAACATCTAAAGGAATTAATTCTGGCTGACTGTAAAACAAAATTACTTAAGTAGAATGGTTTTCACTATTATTTGGAGATCTCTTTACATTCATGTCATATTTACTAAAAAAAAAAAATCACTGAAATCTCAGCAGAGCGATTTCTCCTGGTAAAATAACAATAGTCTCTAAAACACAAACAATCATCATAGCAATCAGATCCTTTCCAAGGGTACCATCTTTCAGTTATCAAATCAGCATAATACAGTATGATAAATCAACTTACTACATTAAGGTGGCAATTAACATTTAAGAGCACTCAAGACAAACGTAAGCAAGTAATCCTAGTAACAGAAAGCAGAACACTGGTAACTGCTTTAAAATAGTTAAGAATTTAACATATAAATGAATTTTCTAGAAAAAGAAAAAATAGTAGTAAAATTGATGTAGGTGAGCAGGAGGCCACAAAGCAGATGTCACCAAAGGCTGCATGCCAGTGACCAAATCCAAAGAGTCTAAGTAAATGAAACAACTCTCAATGGATAAAGAAATGAAAACATCCACACTATATCTTGTTAAGAGACCAAGAAAAACAAACAAAAAGCTCCTACAAGTGCAGAACAAATGAGCGTGAAGTGTGGCACAAGTCTACAGACTGTGTAGATCAAGAATAACCATCAAGATTCACATGGATTTGAAACTGATCTGTTCAGGTATTATTTTGCAGGACTCTTTGGAGGTTTGGAACAATCTCCGGCAAGAGAGGGAGGAAGGGAACACGTCTGCCAGTGGGTGTATAAATGTTAGTGTTTAAACAATATCCTCTCTCACTCAGAATCCTATTACTTTGGGCTTTCACCAGAATCTGCTGTCAAAACACAATCTGTGGATACAAGCAGTAAGCAGCTATAGAAGAAAACTGTTACTGGTGTGATTACTACCATCTCAGAAGTAAGGTTCCTAAAAACAACCAGACAGCTTTCCATGTTCAAGAAATACAAAATTAAAATAAAGCATTTTTTCTGCAATGTAAAAGGAATCCAAACAAATCAGTAAGATTCTGCTTATAAAAGAATCTGATTATGATTCAAGACAGAAAGGTAAAAACCTCAGCTCTGTCAGACCTCTAGAACTGTTGTACAAGACTCAACTCTGCCTTAACAAGCCCACCCGTAGATGATGTTTTCCCCCCCCGGCATTCTACCTTTGTCTTGCAACGTTTATGTCATTGGAGCCAACTGTTTCTTACTCTTTATTTGTATCGCATTCACAACAGAAGCAATATTCATACAGTAAAAATAGCAAAATACACTCCTAGACTACAGACACAGCAACAAATGCTGAACTGGGAAGGGCGAATAGATTGAGACAACAACAGGCTAAACACTTACCTCATGTATTTGTCCCTACAAGTCTCTAGAAACTTCTCTAGTTGTGTTGGAGTAATCCTATCCAACTGATATAAAACTCGTGGCTGAAAAGAAAATAGAACACTTAGAAAAGCAATAGCTTATGAAGATTTAAAATAATTACATAATTACTCGTGTGAAACTATTTACCTCTGTTGTGCCATTGTCATTAATGCCATACTTGTCCCTAGTTTTTTTTATCTTCTCAGAAACACCTTTGATGAATTTTTTAATTTCCTGAAATTACATTGAAATGACAGTTAAGCAAAGACATGGTCCTCCTATCGAAGTCTTCAGCATAAGTTATTTGCTTAAAGTTCCAAATGTAATGTTTACAATAATTAAATTAACAATGCACAATATGAAGAAAAAACATCAAAACTTAGACATGCACATACAATAGAATTTACCAAACCAGATTCACTCTTGTGTAACCACAAGTTAGTAGCAGTACATAAGGAATATGGTCCACGCTGGAAAAAAGCATCCTTCCTGAGCACACACTGACAACTTAGAGATTTGAGTTTGGTTGATCCTTCCTTCCTAGCCACCACTTCTGAAACTGATTCTACCATCAAAAAAAGAAACCAACAAAAATCCCTCAAAATTCTTATTTTCTGAGTATACTGACACAATCACATTCTCACTCGTTTCTCAGTATTCAAAATAAGTCAAAGTGGAAAGGCTGTGGCAAGAGAGAAGTATATAAAGGACACCTGCTGGATAAATTTCAAAGACTTAAGATGTGCTTCATTTGAGGGGAAAAAAAATCCTCAAAATTTATATAGACACATCAGTCTCTACCTAACATAGTTCAAACTTCTCTGTGCTGCAGAGAGGTCTTGCTGACAGTTGTATATAACACGTAGCAGTACATAAAGCCTTTCACTCTCTTACCAGGTTTACCCAAAAGTAGTTCTAGCAGACTTTACTTGAACATGAATTGAAACAATACTGTTTGAAAAACATGCAATGTTTGTATAAATCATCATTTAGGCATTATGCTTTGGATATAGATACATACACTAGAAGTCATGAAATATGAGGTTCACGATTAAACTCTCCCATAAAAGTGGACTCAGTGCAAGTCAGTTCCATAACACACGGTCATCAAAACCAAAATATCAACAAAGCAAGAGGAAATCCTTCCCATCTACTTCAACAATGACTTAAAAAAGCCTCTGTGGAGAAGTGAGTGGTTTCATTTTTAGAGTCCTTTTAAACCCTTTTCAACTCATTAGTCCTGCCTGACAACCAAGATGATGATTATATAATACCACCTCTTCTTCACTCAGCACTGGACTCCTTCCAACCGCCCTCATAGCTGGGTACTGAAAATTACTTGCAAAATTGACTAAAATATTTGACTGACTGCTTTTTTTTTTTCTAATAACTGAATTCCTAAATCATTATCAAAACACTTCTATTACATCCTACACAGTATCCTCAGATTCTCAAAATAACAACATTATTACTGGTATTCAAGGTATTTTCTGTGAATACTACAATAAAGTTCAAATTCAAATGAAAGAACCAACAACAGAAGTGTGCTGCTGGAATGGATGCTTCAAGTTGTTTCCCCAGTTAGATGACAACAGGATGCATTCATACATTTCTGCCCCTTTTGCCCTTCAGTAAATCATATTAACGAATGAAATACTTGGCCATTTTAAAGGTTTCTGACCTTGAAATCTTGACATAAAATTGATCATTTGATTTATTTACTAAGTGTTAAGCTATAATGTGGTATTAGAAAAATTAATCTTTCTACTACCAGTGCATAAAAAAAAAAAGGAGTATTGCAGGACTTGCAGAAGATCATCCAGAACATTTGATCTATAGAGAAAAAAAACACTAAGGAGAGACTTTAAAAGTAATCGTATCTTGAAAGATGCTTCTTTTGTGGAGGGGCAAAAAGGGAGGAGTGGAAGGGGAAGAAAGCAGAAAGAATAACACTAACTTCTCCCTCTAGAACACTGAAGACTAAGTTATTCTACATTTTCACCTACTCACATAAAACCAGGGGACAGTAATAATAACCACATCACCATGAACTTCTCAAAATTTGTTGTCATACTGGCTGAATAATTGGTCATATGGAGTAAGTCCACAATAGGACAGACTTAAGACCAAAACAGCATAGGATTGCAAATAGAATTATGGCCAACAATTTATTGTCAACTTTTCCTCTTCGACACTCTGAGTTTCAAAATACGTTTTTTTCTAAAAAAAACCCAAACATCTCCAACATAGTAAATGAATTGTTGTCTCTCATTCTGAACTGTAAAAATAATGTACTCAAACGACATTATTTCCACACACTAGAGCCAAAAACATGAGACATAAAAGATAGATCTCTAAAGCAATTTCTTTTTCATCATCAAAGCTTTTATTTATGCACAAAAACTAAAAGAGGAAATGACCTATTCCCCTCAACTTTCAAGTATGTGTTGGCAGTTTATCCAAACTATGGATTAATTTATGCTACAAATAGAATGAAAATGTAGCTCACTCTTTGCTGAGCCTGTCTGTCTCTATGGACTTATCTTCAGTGCAAGACTGTCCTCTATGAACACAGCTATGTAATTTCCAAAGCGAGCTCAAAACACCATCAATTCTTTCACATTGTCTAAACCTATCAAGTCTGATAAGCTGGACCTGTTTAGTAAAAAGGCACCAAACTGACTCAGTAAGCTCTGGCTCAACGTGGGCCTTGCCAGCTCCTACAGAGCTGACGTTTAGTCAAAAGAGCAGTTCAAGGAATAAAGCCTAGTCAGCCAGGTGTTTGCATCACGTTTCCTGGCACTTAAGCTAGTGACATGAAGCACTGCTAATATAAGAATCCTCATAGTTAAACCTACTGAAACACAGAGTGATACACACAATCCCCCAAGATTGAGCAACAATCCATTCAAGTCCAAGCCAGACCCATTAGGTCAGCTCTACGTACGCCAGGATCGACTGGCTGTGTGCTGAGCCTTTTCCCGGTTTGCACCACACTCTACAGTATGCATATTATATCATCTCAAAAAAACCCACAGTAAAAAGATTGATTTGTTAAAAAAATTTGAAAAGCTTTTGGAAACCCTCACAATTTCAATAAGAAAACAAAAACTTCCCTTCATCTGTACCTTAATATACCCAAATACATGAAAATATTAACACAATTGAAACTGTGCCAGCCAATAATCTGCTTTTTCATCAGTTGAATTCCCTCTGGTGAGGGCAGAGAGCAGGCAGAATGAACGCTAGTCTCTTTGAAAAAGGTTACTTAGACAAGCTGTATTCTGGACAAGAGTGGAGAAGCCCATTATAGGAACCTCCTGGTAAAATAACAGCAACAAGAAATTTCCCTGTTCTGCAAGGGAAAAGTGGAGGAAGGGATAGGAACGTATCAGAAAAAACATGCTAATATCCCTAAAGGTTGAAAGAATAAGTTTCAGACAATAAAGTCACATATTAAGCTTCTTCAAATCCTCAAATTTAACTATAGGGATTAATTCATGTGTCACGGTTTTCACCATTAAAAAGGAACTGGGCAAATTATTGTGATGAACACCTAAATTATAATTTAGCAAGCAGTAATGTATATATGCTAATCAGTTACTTGAGCACTATACACACATCTGTAGCTAAAAAGCACTAACATTAATGCTCACACAGTGCACACACATGCTACAATTACCTCTTTATATTTTTCATAACCTGTCTCAGTTAATGTCTTCAAGGATGAACAGAAAAGAAACAAGAGGAAAGAAGAAAAAGTAAAAGCATCTAAAACTTAAAGATCTTAAGTTAAATAATTATCATTAAGGAGATGTAGCCATATCTGTGCTTCTGAAATCATCAGCAATTATTTAGATTTTCTTGATAAGATTAAAAAGATGTACATCTCAAAGAGCAGCTTCATCTCCAAACTCTGATATTAGTATATAGCATTTTTTTTCCTTCAGAGATGTAATTAAGATTTACAGCACGTTTCAAGTATGGATAGAACTATTTTTTCAACTCTAGCAACACAGTTGCAAGTCAGGTTTATAAACAACTGCTTACTAGTTTTGTCACCTCTGCTCTGAAGCACTCTGATCTATTAAAAAGAAACCCTTTAAAAGCAATTCATGAAATTGATATTCTCATCACTGCCAGTAATCAGAAAGTTCAGCAAGGTAATAGCTTTACATGTTCACAGGCAGGTTAATTCTACCATTTTTATCACTATCTCTGAAAGTAGTCTTAAGTGTGGCTGCTCTCAAAAATACTAAAATTGCTTAATGCTCTTTCAAACAAACTGACTTCTACAATTTAAAGTGCAAGCAGTCATGTGAACACTCACTCATACTTAGAAGACAAGTAAGTACTCCCCAGAAGATAAGCCCTGTCCAGAACATATAATACAAGTTTTTTTGATGGGTTAGTATCACAAGAAAGCAAGGTAAATAGGTGTAAGTGTATAGCTGGTGTTTCTATCACAGGAAAACAAGTAAATTATTAAGAAGTTATTCAGAAAGTCGATAATATCAAAGCATATGCATAATAAGGGAGTATGAGATTCAGTCCTAGTAGCTTCTTACTTAGAGTCAGTAAGTAGTATTTCATTTCTGACGGCCCAGGGGAAGCACATAATTTCTGTACCATCTTGCTATGAAGAGAAATTCCAGCAAGATCTCTCAGATCAGCAGCACGCTGTACTCAAAAATCACTAAATTTTTCTCTCATTCCTAATGTTCTTGTGGTGAACATGAAGAACTACCACAGTAAGAATTAAAATTACTAGTCCTACCTCCCCACCTCCTAAATGTACAGAAATATATTATTGAACAAACTACTACTCCATCTACCAATGCATAAAAATCAGCCATTGCTCCTACAGATTGATAAGATCATTTTATTTAATTTCCTCTAATTTATAAGGAAAAGTTAATCACAGTATGATAAGGAAGTGAGATAATTACCTGCAGGAAACTGTCTCGGCAGCAAAGAAATTCATTCTTCTTCATGATGGACTCAGATGTTAACACCAACTCATTTTTACTAAGTGCTGGTTCACTTCGGCATGGATACACAGCCTTCAGAGGGAAAAAAATAATCACTTCACATGAAACATATACACAAAAACTTCATTGTAAAGACACAGAATATAGATACATACAATTGATTAACAGTATTCTTTACTTTTGGTTGAAGTTTTTGGGTGTTTTTTTCTTTGGTTTTTGTTGTTGTTTTTTTTCTCCTCACTATATAATACCAGACTACTGTTAAGAGAAGGTACATATACACTTGTACTTACTTATGTAAATCTGAAGGTATACTCACACGTATTTCTAATTCCATTTATTTTTTACACTCACATTACAGAAATCTAAACAGTTTTTCAGAAAAAAAAATAATGTTCTGGGTGGGGAGAACAAGCAACCAACAAATAAACCACAAAACCAAAACCAAACAGTTCTCCCCATAATTTACTACTTCCTCCTACATGCTTAATAGCCTTTTCACACTTCCAACAAAGATTTCAGTAATCCTTACCCTGATATTGTCTAGAACTCGCTTGAATTCCAGCGGTTCATCCTTCCCTTCCATGGCTGCAGGATCCAAGCCATCTCCTCCATAAATAAATTGTATAATGTCACCAGTAGAACTTCTGACTGTCAAATCATACTGTGAGCAAAGATCTTCAAGTGATTTTACCAGCCGCCTCTGAAGGAAAAAAAAAAGTGCAAGGAAAGTAAACAGAATTTTTAAAAATAGCTATTGATTTGGATTCCAAATAGTACAGGATCAGGAAATAAATCTGCCACAGTGATTAGCAGGCATGAAAACCTATTTCAAGTCATACATTATCCCGAGGGCTTTTCTGTATACTCCCCAGGACATGAAAGCCAACAATAAAAAAATTTAAGGCAACAACACAATTCTCCGCATTTAGAGATGGCATCATATAGGAAACTTAATCCTAAAACACAAGAACCTATTATAGTCTGAGGAATCTGCCTTTTTTTTGACATAATATTAATATTCTTTCAATCAGGTTTATTTCTCAAGAGATACAACGCTTTTTATGATGGAAGCAAAACTTGTCAACTATTATTTTCACTGACAGAAACCAAAGAGCTCATCTGTCAAAGATAGTAGGTGCTGTTTTTCTACCAGTGTTAGCTACTTCTTTTATGTTAATTGCTTGTACTGGGAAATCCCTTTACTACCATCTTCCTTCCTCCACCTCCCAAAAAGACGACATGCTATGAAGCATTAGTGGTTAAAAAAATATATACTTGAAAAATAGACTTCATTGATCTATGAAAGTAAATTAGCTCACTAAAGAATATGAATTGGTCATTCTTTTTTCACTGAGGAGGAAAACAGTAAGATGAAATAAATTTTCAGATTTAGTTTTCTTTAAATTCCATAGTTCAAGCGCTACAATTTATTCATGTAGGGTGAAAGTTGATGAGGAAAAATATTTTGCAGGTTGCTTATTACATTTATATATACACTCACACGCATGCAAATATTATTCTGGTTAGTACAGGAGACAAATGGTCTAATTAGTCACCCACCCCAAAAGGAACTGACTTCAGTCTTTGTAGAGTTACTTGCGTATCTCTGAACATGTGCCCAGCTCCAAACTATTTTGGCTTTTCTACTGCCTGGTACACTGGGAAGAGGACTATAAATAAAATGCTACTTAAATATTTTCACCAAAGTCTTTAAGACTACTCCTAATAGCAAGAAGCTTAGTTGGAGGGACATTTATTTTCAGAGGAGATACAGCCAAAGACACTAACATCTTACAGAACTTTAAGTTCAAGTCTCTGTGGCCAAGCTGCCCATTACCTAAAGAGGAGAGATACTAAAAGGGAGCTTTAGCCATATTTCTGTCATCCAGACAGTCTTTTTTTAAATAAACCAAACCAAGGATTTGTTTTCTATTTCTTGTTGTTCAAATACCATATCTGAAAAAGCACTCACAACTCAAATCTATGTTATATTGTATGGATAAAACTTCCATCACTCACCTGAGTTTTAAGAATACACACTACATAGAAAGTAGTCCTCAATATCTCTGTAGAACAAGGGCTTTTATCACCCATATTCAAGTGAAAACAGCTTAATACAAGCATGTTACTGCACCGTTCCTGAGCTCTGGTTTATAAACCTCATGTCTACTGGAGAACAGAGCCAAGTCATGTATTTCACGGTATAAATTACTCTGTTACATTAAAAACACACACATGCATAATGTATGCACTCCTCCCTTCAACATGCACATAAGAAACATCCTCCTTTTGCAAGGCTGATAAAACCCCAACTCCACTGACAGTTACCTGCATATATCCAGTTTCGGCTGTTTTTACAGCTGTGTCAACCAGACCTTCTCGACCAGCCATTGTATGAAAAAAAAATTCAGTGGGAGTCAACCCAGAATAGAAGCTATTAGCGACAAAGCCTTTTGCTGCTGGGAGCTACAGAGAAGAGTAAGAAAAAACAGTTGAAGTGCAAAGTACATTGTGTATGCATGTTACAGAAAAACACCTTGTATGTAAATGAAATTATTTCAGATAGCTAGCCAATACATACACAAACACAGAGCAATCGTCTCAGCTGCATTTAGCTTTGAAGTTCAATGTTTGTATCTTAGATCTAAATAGAGGCTTCAAAAACCCTTGCCTAATTCTTCCAAACTAATCTAATAGACTTCTTTCTCCTCCTATAAGCCTTGTCATGCTTCTAGCTGTTCCTTGCAAACACTACACTAACACTTCAGCCTTCCTTAAAATTGCAAAAATCGAAAAGGTGGTAAGAAGGTGCATTTTGCAATAGTACAGCAAAGGTAGCTGCAGTGCCGAAGACTAAGGAATCCAGAAAAAAATATGACTGGAGGTATGTACATAACTAATTCTTTCAAATGGTTTGCTCTCACCTCTGAGAAGAGTTCTTGCCAATGAACTTTATGCAGGCATCCCTTTAAGCCAAGTAACACCAAACTGCCTCCATGATCACACAGAATAATGTAAAGACTACAAAGACATTCATCTTAGATCACTTTTTGTTCTTATTTAACAGGTAATGCTTTCTAAATCAGTAAAAAAATCTAGAGTTAAATTTTAACTTTTACCTTCTGACCTAACCTATGAAGTATTTTTTTCTTCTTTAATTTATTCAGAAAATAAAAGATTTTACATTACAGAACTCTGAAGTTGAAATTTGTATGTTTAGTCACAAATGCAAGTGTCATGGCTACAATCTGACACTTGAGTTACCTGATTAACCACTTACAAGATTGATGGCTGGTATCTACAACCTTCTCTACTGATCACTAGATTTCAGATAGTGGTTGTTTGTTTTTTTTAAAAAAAATCTCACTGAATTGCATTAAACTCATGAGACTCATGGCTTCACATAGTACGGAACTCAAACGTGGAACATTCAGAGTAGCCCATGACACCTATCCTAATGGAAAAAGAAAAAACAAACAAACAAACAAAAACCCAACAGACTTTAGAATGGTTTATTTGGCTTGTTTCACCTGTCTGAAGATACCAACACACACCTAGCAGTTATTCTGAGAAGTCTTATACAGTGAAACATAATGCAAGACAGAAACTTGAACAAATTATTTTTAGGACTCTCAAGAGAACCAAAAATCTATCATCAGGTTTACTTCAATTTTACTGAATTAGAAAGGTCTAAGCAAGGCTTAGCTGTAAAAATTCAAGCTAACTAGACATCCTATGGCAATTCACAACTCCCAGATCACATTCAAAACCTTTTACATTCACCGCATGCGATACTTTTCCTTCACCATGTCATGACAACATAATCTGTCATGTGTCCTTCTTAAAATGTTTTAAGGCAACTTGTTTCACTTTTTGTTACAATTCTGTATTGTAAACATACAGAATTACCTTAGAATGTTTCTCAAAGTGAGGCAAAGATCTGTTCTCAAATCCATCAGGAACTCTGGACCCACTGATAGCCTGCTGACCTACACAAGCAATCATCTGAGATATATTAATGAAGGAGCCTGAAAAGAAAGAAAGAAAAAAGAAACATATCACAGATGAATATCACTGCTCCTCTGATCAACTATCTTCACTTCTATGAAGATCTATTATTTAACCTTCATAATTCATCAAAAATGCACTTAGAATTTCAACAGTTAAAGAAACTTTGCTGTCACTTGCACTGTCCATTTCAGCACTTATGCAGAGACTGACAACTAAGTCTACAATACAGTGAGCAACTCCTTTCAATTATTTTTTCTGTCCATAATAGACATTCATTCATACCACGATTATTGGACTACAGTCCTTATATTATCCTGTTTTCTATTAATGGATTATGTTTTATACAATCCATGATCCTAACTGACGTATTTTGCTTCACAATTTCTTCAATAAACATATTTTAACACTATTTTCCATGAAGGGTTCAGTATCTACCAAGATTCCTAGAACAAATTAAGTCCCAGAGAATAAGTCACTAACTCAGAAGTTTTATTTGCTGAACATGTTTGCAAACAATGCCTCCTCCCCACTCCAAATTATACACTTAATATATCCTTCTTAGATTCCAGTATTTCTTTAGAACTACAAAACGTCACCCTGAGGCTTTCCACAATTTATTAGAGACAGATAAATAGAGGCAAAGAGTTAAATGATTTCTTCAAATTCTCATAGGAAACAAAGGAAAGCTCAGATAATCAATAGAGTATAAAACGAATATTTACTACACAGTTGGTCCTTCAGAAACAAAGCAGTGAAGATGGCTGAAATATTAGTTCCAATTCTTAACACATTATTTCTAGTTGACTTATGTGATATAGATACTTGAGTCAGAAACGCAACTGAAAATTTTTTACTGATGAATTGCTAAAGAACATCTAAAGTTCCAATAGTATGTTTTTCGACTTGTAATAAAAATTTAAAGATGTAAAAACCAGCACATCAGCTTGATTTTAATTAACTATACCCAACGTGCACTTACTGAGAAGAATCGCTTCAAAGCAATATGACATGAATTTAACACTTGCACAACTGACTGTATAGAACAAGCTATAAAGACAGAACAAGTACGTTTGATAACAGTGATAGAGCAAGCAATCTACTTTGAAAGTTTAGGTATCCCTACCTTTAGAACCACAGAGCGCCATGATAAGGGGACTGTTGCTCTTGTCCAGTTCTCTGAGACAGGCACTGCCAGCATGATCTCTGATAACAGAGAGCTCTTTAAGGATTAAAGCCTGAAATCCAAGATTTCAGAGATTCAGTATCATTAAAACAAGATTTCAGAGATTCAGTATCATTAAAAATACCATATGCAAACAGTACTGTCTCACTTGCCAGCAATACCTTCCGCTGTCAAAGGGAATTCAAAATACAATAAGAAGAAAGAAATCTAGACATTGCTTTGGGTAAAACGATTTTAACTTTTATCTTGCATAACTTCCCACTTTGCTGCACAAAAAGCCTTTGTTGGGATAAGACGGGGTAGCCAGGGACAGGACAACCTCTTTTGTCAGCAGCACAAACTTAAGCTAAACTGAGCATTGAGCTAAGTTCTAACTCTTGCTGAACTATGTGGAAGATCATCATCAAAAGAAAAGTATTTTGGGACTGCTTTCAAATAGTACAACACTGCTATATCCAATTCTTAAGAACGTAACAACTGTATCAAAAAAACATTCTAGGATATACACAGGTGTCTGAAAAGAGGAAGAGAGAAAAAGACTGCAAGACACTTGTTTCAGGCAGAGTGCGACTTCAGACTGGACAACTGTGGTAGTGCTTCATCATACGGTGGGGTTTTCTGGTTGCTTGGTGGTGGTGGTTGTTTGTTTGTTTTTTTCTTTTTTTCTTTATTTTTTAAAGGTAAAAAACTAGGCATTACCTAGTCAAGACGACAAACGTATAAAACCATTAAAGACAATGAAAAGAGTGCTCTTCAGCTGACTGCATTACATCACTGCCTGTAAGCTTTTAGGCAACCATCATTGCTCTTCATCAAAATTACTACAGAAAAAAAAAAAAAAACAGCATAACCAAGGTCCACTTAACTTCTGCCTCAATGAGGGGCAAGAAAACACTTGTATATAAATAGATCTGTAAATAAGACATGTTTTGCTTCTTGGATTAGGTTCTTTACTGTTACTGTTATTAACTTAGCAAATACTAATAAATATAATAAACTCAGTTCTAACTGTCTATGTAATTTTATTCTCTTGCATGTCACCCCAATACATCCAGCCAGGCGGGAGGAGGGATCTCAGTCATTTAGTATTTAGTTGACATTTTTAGATGCATACAAACATCTAAACATTAAGCCTAGGCAGACTCAGTTAAAGCTGCGTACCTACGGACCCTATTTGGTCGTATTTTTACATTTCAGAAGACAACTTTGAACTTCACAATTTACATGAATATATTCATGAAGTCTCTAAATACATAGTGATTTCAATTAAAAATTTTACCTCTAGTGTCTCTTCTGCAGTACAACCAGGCTGCTGCTGTAGCTTGCCAGTGTTCAGAGCTTCAATATACTCATCACATTTCTTATAGCCAGCATTCAGGAGCTCATACTTAGCTTTGAGCAGGCCCTGCCCAGGGGTTACATCACCAATTCCAATTGAAAAGCCACGATTAGCTATTATTTAAAAAAAAAAAAAACAAACACAAAAATAATTATATTGATAGCTCAATCTCATATGGAGAAAACAAAATAAAACCAGGAAGTATTATCATTGGGAACTTTATTTCTTCCTCCCATCATGTGACCATCATAAACACTTCGTAAGCACAATCAGGTGTTTCACTGTTTGTCAGCTTCATTAGCTTATTTTTTTTAAACACATCACACCATATTTGAAGTAAAAATCTTACTTGATTGCTCTGTATTTCTGCCTTAAGATACTATTTTACAAGGAAACGTACTTACAAAGATAGACAGGAGCAAGTCTGGCTAGTCGTGACATGGCATCCGCAGCTTCTACCTGTCCCCAGTCTCTCAGCAAGATGTAGAAGATGTTGTTCTTGGATCCTGAACCTAAGGTTCCTTTGTCCATACTGCCACTCATTAACTCACTGTTTTGAATTGTGACATCTAGAAATAGAAAGGCAGAAAGAATTCATTGGTTTTCTAAAACATTACCTAAACTCTTGTAGCAGGTTTTTCAGTAAAAGCTGTTCATTAACAGAACAAAACCCAAAAGGTCAACATTTAATGTACCTGTAGAAGTGCATGAATGAGTACCTAAGAGGAACAGCCTACAATCTGACCTTACCAACTTAAGTTAAAACTTACTTCCCTTCCTCCTTAGAAAGGTAACTGTAAGCAATTTAAGACCTCTGAGAAACATTGTAAATCCTTTTCGTTAAAAACCTAAACATAAACTTGGGTTCATTAATCAGAATCAAGTCTTCGATCAGTCTTATCTGTCCAGAAATAAAGCCCTCAATCATGCATAATAAACCAATGCTATTTACTTATTTATAAAGTAGAGCAAGAAAATTTCAGAAGTGAAGTTACAGTTCTCTTATTCAAAGATTCTGACATTCAGCTCAACTCAATCACATCTGGAGGCACATCTTGAATTTAAAAGACACAGCACACTCAGATGTCTCTTTAATTACAGATCATAATGACACCCGTCTTACCTGTACACACTGCCTGTTTTACATTACCTCCTATCGCTTCATCAGGAACCTTCCATTTCAGGCACTCAATCTTCCTTATAAGCTTTAGTCTTTAACCAATTAAAAAGTATCTTCTTTGATATTTTCTATGAGAGCAGTACCAATATATGTTCATTCTCAACTTCATCATGCATATTTCTAAGAAGAACTGGCATATGTAGATGGATACAATTTAAATCATTTTATGCAGAACGCTGTAGATGTTTGCACACTGTACTCTATGCTTGGCATTTCCAATGTGAATTTAGGTAATCATTATCATCTTCAACCAGAAGTCACTGCTCTATCACTTATTATATACAACCAAAACATGATACCAGGATTTCTTGAGGCTTTGAAGAATTTGCAGAGAACTTTCTGAAGAGAATTAGTGTTGCTTCAGAAATGAAGTTTTTTCAGAGAACTGAACAGAGCCACCAATAAAATCCAAAAATTTTCCTCATGATCTGCTACTGTCCAACTCAGAAAATGAAAATTCTTTCCATACTTCCTAAAATGAAAAGACTCTGGAGCAAAGAAGATGGCCTATGTTCACACAAGTGTGAATAGGATTGCTTTGTTGCCTTTCACCCCCTATTCCTTGGGGGCTGAAAAAAGTTCTACCACCATGTTTACAACCAACTTCACAATCCCAGAATGGTCTTGTCTTCTAAAGAAATCCCTCAGAGTCTGGTGTAGAGTGGATTTGAGTCCTAATTGGTAAATTCTTTCTGACATGAACATTGCATGACAGAATTACTGTAAAGCAATGGTTCCTCCACTCACACTTTTAAGCAGCAAAGAACCAAGCAAATCCTGCCTGCTCAAGTTCTTTTCCAGCTGTTACCATATGAATGTTAAATTAATAACACACAAAGCCTTGCTCTTCTCCTACAGCCTCTTCAACTCTGATGCTTTGTATTCCATCTGCCACTCTGACTTCCCTAACTGGAAGGACACAGACAGCTTCATATCCTAAGGATTGCTGTCTTCCCTATATTTCCTAACATCTTTCACTGTTTGACTTCTAATCCCTATAAGACTACTCTCACTTAAGATATTAAATTCTTCCATTGGCCCTCTGCACAACCACTTCCTAAGCTTCTTGGCTTTTCTCTCTCTCTCACCTTCAAATACCACATTAGTATCACGAGAAGCCTAACATCATACAAAAGAAATTTTATTACAAGAAAACATCCAAGTCTTTTCTTTGGTGTTCAGCATGACTTCAACGTTTAAGAAAAACTCCATAATTTTATTTTTTATTTCAAGAATACTTATGTGAAATACTGCTTTAACTCCTACAGTGAGCTCAACAGCAACAAACTCAACAAAACAGTAGTTAAAATTTCTTTGAAGACTTCCAAAACACAGCTTTAGAAGCATCACTCACAAGAATCATTGTAACACAGGTCTTCCCCTTTGCCACAATACTGTTTGCCCTTGGTTCGTAGATTGGCTTTTACAGGACAATCATCACTGGGTTTGAGAATGAGGCTGAAAACCTGTTTTCCTGTCCAAAGTGTTACAGGCTTAGAGAAACAAAAGGACAAGAATTAGGATTACAGAGTTTATGCTACAACCACAGTAAAACAGTAAGCGAGAGTTGAATTGTAAAATTGTTTTCTGTACCAAACCTTTCTATACTGAGCTATACTTGTACAAGTGCATAGTAGCATTCCTTTGAATAGGAATATTATGCACTTTTATAGACACAAAAACACTGACTGATGAATGGTTATCCTTTACATAAGGATATCTGCATCCATTTAGAGCAACATGCTCTATTGCTCCCTCTCACTGTCATGTTTCCCTTTCCAATTAGAAAAGGAGGAAAAAAAAAAAAGATGCTGCTGCTGGCATTTCCCTTCTCAAAGGGGTTGCAACATTTATAATTCCTTCTTTATAGAGTGCCTTTGGTTTAAATTTTAAGGAGATTAAAGATTCATATAATTACGTAATCCCCTCAGATGTATTTAAACATAAGTAACTGTCACAGTCAGTGCTAAAATTATTTATTTGGAGAGACAGAAGCAGACAAAGCATCACTGCTTTTGGCCAGGAGCAAAAGTTCGTAAGAATGTATAAAATTCACATTAGATACTGCACACAAATGCTCTGACTTTGCTTGAAATCAGTATTAACCACTGGTACTTCAATTGCACTTTCTGAATTTCCCTAATACTACTTTTAATATTTTGAAATTAAATAAAGGGTATAAAAAAAAACGTACACACCAATACTTAGCAAGTATTCAACAACTTTAAAAATGTACCAAAGTCTCTCAAAACAACAGTTTGCCTCACATACAAAATTAATCAAATACAGACACTCTTAAGCCTTAATTCACATGCATTTAACAGACCCTTACCTAATAAACGATACTATAGCTGTGTTCAAAGTTTGTGACAAATACACAAATACACTGCCCTTCATAATAAATACTTTGCGTACATGATGTTGCAAACAAAAAAAAAACAACCAAGCAAAAAAACAACCAAACAAACTGCAACAAATCACATAGCACTTATCCTCTAACATGCTGCCAGGTCAGGATAACAACTAAAGCATTTCCAAGGTTTAATATCTCCTAAATTTGGGATACTGAAACCTCGAACTGTTGAGCATTTCAGGACATGAGTTGAGGGCATCCAAGGAAGAACATAGTTTCTCCACTGAGCCCCATATTAGCCTGCACAGCTAGTAACAGTGCAGCTACTAAGAACAATGTATCTTCTCCCAACCAAGTGGTCTGTCTCAGCAGCAGGGAAGTAGCAAAACTATATTTGAACCCTGAAGGAACCCTACATCTGGACTGCATCATGCAAAGTTGACTCTCTTCAGCATCATGAACCACCAAACAACTTGTGCATAGATTTGACCCTGAATTCTGATCCTTCCACTTTATAAATATGGTATCTCATACAAAACTCATGAGAAAGCAGGAACTGCATCTGCTGAGAACATCATTATAGGTCAAGAACGCACAACAAACTCTTAGTAACACAAAAAAAATAGTTTGACACACCTTCAGAATTGCTGGAGGTGGAAGACGAACTTTAATCTTTTCATCCTTGCCAACCAGGATAGAAGCAATAATTTGACAGGCTTTGGCTCGATCAAAGAAGGTATCTTTTAATGTAAGAAGATAGGCACCTAGAACATAAAAATAATCAATGTGACAGACTAAAATGAGATTAAATTTAAAAGCTATTGCATATTCAGTATCAATTATTTCATTCTAATATTAGTTACCTACTTACTAAGCAAAATAACAGTAGTTTAGACAGCTTCAGTTGTAAATCCCTTCCAGAGTTTTTTTTAATTGCTCCACACTCAAGTTTCTAAATATTACAATCAGTGCATTTCTATAATCTATTTGTCTCTCACAACTCTATCCCATAGGTAAACTCTAAGTATTAGAATCAGTGCATTTCTATAATCTATTTTGTCTCTCACAACTCTATCCCATAGGTAAAAATAAGGCCTTGGCACTAATTTTTGTACACTTCCTTTCTTATATTCATTGGATATTTCCCAAAGAATTAAGGAAATCTGAAGGAACTTGTCGCTCACCAGAAGGCAGCTTCAGGCTACAGCTCTAAAGCAGGTTGTCACTTCTCCCACAGCCAGGAAGAAATGGCCCGCCTTTTGTAGGAAGGGCCTTAACTTCAAGGTGATTGATTAATTGATTACAAATTCAAGGTAGCTGATTAATTGATCACAATTTCCACAATTCCTAGCAGCTGGATCCACAATTCCCCCTTTTTTGTTTACTAGTTTTTCAAACTTCATGGTGAGCAGAGACCCAGTTAAATAGAATTCTCTACGAATCTCCTAGTCTCAAGTGTAGCTTTCCAATGTTCGGGGCAGGAGCAGGAGGTGTCCTTAATCTTCTTTGTTGAAGGAATTCTCGCTCTGACAGGATCTCTTTTAGGGTCTCTTTATTGTTCTCTTTATTATCATGTCTGGGTCACCAGATGTCCCTCACCAGAAGAAGGCTTCAGGCTGCGACTCTAAAGCAGGTTGTCACTTCTCCTGCAGCCAAGAGGAAATGGCCCGCCTTTTGTAGGAAGGGCCTTAACTTCAAGGTGATTGATTAATTGATTACAAATTCAAGGTAGCTGATTAATTGATCACAATTTCCACAATTCCTAGCAGCTGGATCAGCTGGATCCACAGGTACTTACTGTAGGTTAAAAATAACTTTTGACTAACAAATTCAATTCCTCTACTATAATCATAAGCAGTTTACCATTTCTACCTAATGCATACAAAGATCCCAAACATTAATTTTCTGTCAGAGAAACACTGCAAAACATATGCAAAGGTAATAATAATTTCAGCTACAAAGGTATCAGAAGAGACTCCAAGGACATCATCATATTTCAGACTAACAATGGCCTTATTTTCATAATGTCACTTTGACTTGTGAAAGGAGATATTTTTCAAGTAAGACAGAAAAATTCTGGAAAAGAGGGAAGTGATTCTGAAGGAACAATTATTAAGTCACAGAACTCTAAAATAAGCTTATATACACACCTGTGAGAAAATCTTGAATAGCAGCGATAAGAGGTTCTCCGTTTCTTGGTGTCACCAAGTTTGCTTTAGTCTATATGATACAGGAAACAAAAAATCACACATTCGACGACACTGGTATTCCATTTTGTTTCTCAGAAAGAAACTTACCATTTAAGACAGTTATTTTAGCAAAAATGGTAAAAGCTTATTTTAAACCAAAGTACAGCTTTCTTCAAAAAGATAGAAAAAATGAACTAGAAGATTCAGTTCACTACAGTCCATGCAAATCTATTGACAGTTAAGGAATAATTTGAAAATAGTTAATGGAAATCACATATTCTGTGCCCAAAGCAGAAGTTGTAATCAACATGACATGTTTGGTAGGTTACTGTTCACGTGGGACAGAGAAAGGAAACAAAGCTAGGTTTGAGAACCTGAGAAGGGACAAAAGAGGTTACGCTCACTACAGGGAGCTGCTGAAATACTGCAGGTTGTGTGGTCCCTACTGATATGTAATAACCAAGCTGGCTACTTCCACTAGCCCCATTTTCTGATGTCTTAACTACGACTCCAGTTAATCACCCCGCATATGCAGTACAGTTTTACCCAAACTGTTCATGAGACCCCACAAACCCGAATCACACATTTGGGTGGGGGTGTGCGTGCTCTTTTTAAGCTCACAAATCAGTTCAGCAAGTCAATACCTGCTGCAGCCAACAGCTGTGTCAGTACATCTGAAATAGCAGTAGCATTCAGTCAACCTTAAGGAGCAAGTCACCCACCCTAAGGGAGCAAAGTACTGAAAAATCCTCAGATTGATGCTACTGACTGATGCTACTTTCACATCACAGATCAGTGCCTGCAACCATCAGATCTCTACCTACCCCCCCTTCTCCTTTTTCCCCTTGCCCTAAGAGCCTACCATCTTCTGCCTTCTCTGGTAAACTGCCTTCTCCAATGTAAGTACACTATCACTGCCTCATTTCCAGTTGGTCTGATTGCCCACAAGTGCTGTGCTGTCAGGCCAGAAAGCAAAGTATGTAGCTGTTTGTTAACAGAGCCACCCTATTTTGGCAGCAATCACTAAGAATAGTCAGGCAGAAACATAGTAATGACATTTACTTAATTAAAACCATTGAATTTTCCACAGATGCTAAATGTAAGTCGATTAGACTACCATTACACAACAATCCTAATTAATTCAAAATCCTACTTTGCAGTTTTCAGGCAGCTTCACAGTGGCACATTACCCATATCCAGGAATCTTGATAATATTTCAGATTTCACATGCAAGTTATGGAATACAGGTCTCAGCCCATCTGTCGCTAGCAAAATCCCAACCCCAACATTATCTACCTACCCCCATTAAAACAAGTGCTTCTGCTTTTGCTTCTTCTGTCTGAGGAAGGTGAAGGTTCATCTCATCTCCATCAAAGTCTGCATTGTATGGTGTACAGACACATTCATTAAATCTGAATGTCCTATGAGGTTTTACTCTAGCCTGAAAAAAAAAAAAAGCACATGCAGTCAAGCACACTAAAAGATGAAAAGCCATGGCCCAATGCTTCCTTGTAGGCTTTATCTTTTCTTTTTATTACAGACATGAGTCAAAACTTCTGATTATAGGATTTAACTCAACCAGGAACTCACTGACACGGTACTCAGGATACGTTACACAAATGTAACGAATAACTTCCACTATGAAGAATTTATACAAAGCACAAAGCACAGCATGCTTTGTAGAGATCACATCAACTCTACAAAAATGAAATGCTTGATTCAAGAAGAGATACCAAGGTCAACTACAGCTATTAACAGAACTGTCCAGACAGCTTACTGCCCAGTTACATATCAATTCCTAAGCAAAAGCACAACTGCACTCGTCCCCACGCAATGTTTCAGAAGAAACTGTTAATTTTTGTGTGTGTCAGAGAGAAACACCAGCAAAGGTGAACCACGTAACATTCCGGGATGCACCACCTGCATGTTAGGCTGTGTATGCACTTACAATGTGAGCCATGATGCTCAACTTATGAAGAGAGGGTTGTCGGTTAAACAGGACTATGTCACCATCTATAAGATGTCGCTCCACAATATCACCGAACTTCAGCTCCTGGGCCATCTTTTCTCGGTTTCCATACTTCAAAAATCTTATAGTAACACATAACAATGGAGTCAGAAGAAAGTCAGAAAGATGTAAACATAACTGAACATAAATTCTGTGTTTATAAGGCAAATTTTTCCATTAAATGTTGGACTATTTGTATTACAATAAATAGAAGACAAAAGTGGTGAGGACTGCATCATTAAACATCAGCCCTGCTGCTATTTTAAATAACAAATGTATCTGTGACATTAGTTAACAAAGCTACAATTATTAGTACAACAAATAAGAAAAAAGTCTATTTATAAAACCAACAAATTTGGTTGAATTGTATCAGGGAGTATAGGAGTTTCCCTCATATACTATCACTTCTTACTACCCATAAACTGACTGTAGATTAGCTCTCCCATGCACACAGCTAGTACAATGTGCCGAAAACTGCCTGTTTTCATTTATCTCTGTACTCCACCCTCTATTTCAAATAAGAGAGACTCAATCCTTAAAAAAAATAATCTAACTGCAGTTAACTATCATTAGTACGTACATTTAAATCCAACAGATTATCTAAAAAGAAATTGTAGACTAAACTTGAGGAAATAATGACAATTCTTCTGTTACCGCCCTTTATGAAAGATTCTAAAAATAAATTTTAATCCCTGTAGATTAACTGTTTTCAAAGAGCAGTAAGAACAAGTTGATGGTGAGAAATAAGAAGTGACTCATTACAGATAAGCATGATACCTTTTCATCTGTGTGTGCCTTTGCTGTATGAAGTTGGCTCCAGGATGAACATCAGGACCATTACGGACAAGTTTCCTCATAAAATTGATATTTGCTTTGTTCACCTGTTGCACAAAGACTTCAATCAGAAACAAATGAAACACGTTTCAGGATCTCTTGTTTTTGCTGGTGGCTTTCGCATTTTCAAATTTTAGGCTCAACTGACAATTGCCCTCCCAGCCTCCAGCTGCTAAAGGGAACAGGCAAGGGGGAATAGAAGAGGAAAATGTAAGCCAATCTTAGAGCAGAACACCAGAGGGAAATTAAATTAAAAATCTAGGAAGTAAATTCAGAAATCACTGACAACACCAACAAAACATATGACACTATGCACGAGTTCAAAAAATATCAAGCAAAACTCTTCTCTCTTGGTATGTGACTCCTTACACCATATGCCTTCACACTACTTGCGTGTATCTGATAGTACAATTTTCATTTACCAGCAGCAGGAGAAATGGCAAAGCGTTACTGAAAGATATTTTGAACATAAAGCAATACACTGACTCCCTTTTATAATAACACTATAAAAAAAGGACGACACTGAGGTCTGGTAAAAAAAAAAAAAAAGGCTCAGAAAAAGTTTTGGTTCTACACTACTTACCTTTTCAGGAAATGTTAGTATTTTAGCAACATGAATAGGCACTGCTACTTCATCTATTCTTAAGTTAGGGTCAGGTGAGATCACTGTTCTGCCAGAGAAGTCTACTCGCTTTCCAGACAGATTGCCTCTAAACCGACCTAAAAAATAAGCAAGTGAAAACTTTTTTATAAAAAATTGTTTCCAAAATGTTAAGAGAGCATATCAGAACATCTTTCAAGGCGCATCACTGAAGTGCAACAAAATAGTAGCAGAAAGATGCTTTGGAATAGCACATATTTAATTTAAAAAAAATATTAAAAACAACTTTCTAGACAGACCTTGCTTTCCCTTAAGTCTCTGAACAAAACCTCTGGTCCATTTCTTAGGTGCCATGTTGAGAGGAATTCCCGAGAGCTCACTATTAATGTATAGAGCACACTGCAGCTGAAGAAAATCCCAGTCTTCCATAATCATCTGTGTTTTGGCTCCTGATATCCTGTGCTAAACAAAAGAGTCATCCAGTTCAGAACGATAAATACAACAACACATATTAAACTACCAAAGAATTCTTCTGATATAAGTACAACCCTTCTTTGGAAAATAATGTTATAAAACCCTCATACATTGGAATGAAAAAGGCGAGAGAACTTCATAAATAGGATGTAAAATGGTACAGCATAAGGCCATTCACAAGACAACTAGGCAAAAACTTCTTTTGACTAGCATCAGCTTTGGATAAATGCTCAGAAAACTATGTATTTGTTTAAATTATACTTTCCCCACGCCACTGAAGTTAAGTCAATATAACTTCACAGCCAGGAAAATCATCACTAGTTAATTTCTAAATCACAGAAGATTTAGTGCTCACTTGTTTTTGTTTACCTGACAAAAGACCAGTCTTGAAAAGCCTGAAAATTATTAGTGTGGTAGAACTGTTCTTCTAATCAAATTTGTTATCCACACTAATGGAAACTTGATTTCCTAAGAATAGATGGTGGAATAAAGAAAGGACAGAGATGTAGTAAAAAAGAGGGTTTCCATTGGAAGTGACCACTCAAAATGTGCCATAGTCAGCAGTAGGAGGGAAGAAAAAAGAGGGGGGGGAAAGAAAAGGCAAGAAAGAGGGG